CAAATCAATGGAGCTTTACGGCTGGAAGTGTTCGGATCACCGAAATCTTTCTGAAACGTTTCGGTCTAGGTGATTTAACAATTTTGCTCGACTGTTATCGCGCGATCAAAGAGAGACGCGCGCGAGTTACCGCGCGCGGTCTCAAATCCGTACAGGCATATCAAAATCCTTTGTATCGGATTTTCTAATAGAGAGCGAGAATCCGGCAGGATATTTGCACATACCCAGAGGGAATCGTTGTTTATGTGCGGCCTTTTCGGCGGATATTCTCTGTGCATGTGCGAATATTCCGGCGGATCCTCGGTCTGTCTATTAGAAACTCCGATACAAAGGGCTCTGATACGCCCGTATAGATCCCACTCGGTTATGTGGGTCATGCAAGAATTTACCTACGTTTCTTCGCGCACCATTGCCGAACTTCTCCCGGCCGTCTTCGAACTTCGCGAAATCCGTTTTGCGGCGGAGTCCCTGGTACACTTGCGGATTTTCCGCGTCGACTATAAAATTCCGCAACCGTCTTACGGATAAGCTCCGCCGACCGGTTCGAATGATTCTTGTTCCACCGAGGCATGTATTACGGCGAGGTGGGCCTGGACAGATTTTAGAGATTATTTTGAGAAACCGCAAATCGGTGTTGTACGGTGATTTATATATTAATCGCTAGATCGTGGATTTTCATGCGAAATAACAATTGCGTGCATTGATGATATTCTTTCTTTCATCGTTGCGCGGCGCGCATTAGGTTGAAGATAATAATAATAATAATAGAACTATTTATACGGGGTGTGTTCATACTAAAATAATAGTTTATACTAATGACCACCGGATTCCGAGTATTTAATCTCGAGATACTTAGGTCTGAAAGCTTGACTACTAGTTCTTTCAGACGCAAGTATATCGAGATCAAGTAGTCAGAATCGTATTGCCATAGTACTCGTTGCAATTAGTTTATACCAAATCTATTTATTCTCGCATCTGTTTATTCATTTTTACGCGAATCGATGCGAATTCGTTGAATTTTTCGCAAAGGAACCGAGTGCGTCGATAATTCGTTCCAGGGTCCAAAGTGGAAAAAAATAAAATGGCGCTGTAAATGTCACGTTTCGCCTAAACGATAGGTCTAAACGATAAGAAAGGAAACTGCTAACGCCCTTTTAGCGTTTAAGACCGGTTCGGTGGGGTTTTTTGTTGGCGTTTTTCGATAGCGTTTTCTGGTAGCAAGAAAGTAAACGCTCTTGTTTCGGCTTCGGGGGCTGCTCTTATCGGCCTGCTATTCATTCGCATCGTGTGGTGTGCCGCGCCAACAATGTCGGTTACCGTGACAAAAACATTTAATAGAGAGATCCATCCGATACGCCCTCGTATTTGTACACAGCTTGTTACCGCGAGCCCCCATTGTCTCATAATTATCGCGTCATTTCGACGCCCTCGCCGCGGCCATTTTTCTACACGGCCCGAATTCGAAACTTTACGCGACCACCATTACAGTTAACTGGTTAACATTCAATGAAAATTACGAATCTATTTTACAGCCTAATATTGATCTATTATTGTCTGCTTTTTATTGTACTTTTATTCCATTCAAATGTTGATACGGGTTTTTTAAAGGATTCCATGTCTCGTCACCCTCTCTTGGAATATTCTATGTACAGTAATGTCTCCCTTACCGACGCTCAGGTTGTACAGTAATGTCTCTCTAATTGACGCCCAGAAAATGGACAATTTGGGAAGAGGAGATACGCGATAAATTGTCCATTTTAGTGGACAACCTGAGCGTCAGTAAGGGAGACATTACTGTATTACTTAAAATAGAAAAATAAGAGCTATATAATATTTTATTTAATAAAATTAAATTAAATAAGCTGCTACACAATATTTTATTTATTTATAGCTTATATTGGACGTCGTTTTATTCGATTTAAACGTTAGTATTTTATATTTTAGAAAAATTTACATTTAATTTAGTCTCAAACGTTTCTTTTCGAATATTCCGCCGTATAATGTTCTTCCAGCGTGTTCAATCGTTGCCCAGTTTATGACAAAAATCTACGAAGGCGTACACTAACCTAGATTTTTCTGTAGCAATTATTTACGTCCATTGGACGTTAATGAAATCCACTCGTCAAACGAATGGCCGCGAGATTCATAAAGCTGGAACAGTTAGTTTACGAGCTAATAGTTTCCCGTTCTATTGCTTGTAACCTCCCCTAACCGGGTTAGAGTACTTCGGAACCGTCCGCTCACTTTTACTACGGGTCACATTAGCCTTTTACGGGGAAACCGGATTACGATTCGGATTAAGCAATGGTTACGATCCCTAGTTACTCGAACGACAGGGATCTTTTACTTTCCCGCGATTTCCGTGTCGGTTGTTGCACCGTGGGGTCTCCCGCGACCCCGGACAAACTTTCCGCGTTTTCTTCAGCGGTTTCAGCATGTTTCGACTTTTCTAGAGCTATCTGCATTTTCAGAATCTGCTCTTGGAAGAAGCCTAATGGTTTATTGAAACGCCAGACGTTGTAATCCATGATTCTGGAACAAATATTTGCGATTCCAGGAATAATAATATTTGTGTCAACAAAGTTTCGTGCGGACGGTGCAACAGACAACAAAGCAGCAGTATTAAATTAAACGAAAGATTATTAAATAATATCGTACAGCGAACACGCGAGATTGACCGCGACGAACGGCGCGAAGTATGCGAAAGGATCGCGATAGAACTGCAATGTTGAGATGCACAAGGCCAATTGACACGATCACGGGAGGCGGAGGAGGGGGGCAGCATGGATTGAAGTAGGCGCAGGGCACGCATTCACGGCTGCATCGTGATCGAGAAAAGCACAACGCACGTATCCGACAAGGCCGTTGCTACGCCGAGTACTAGTGTTACGGAAGCCTGCCGCTTCAGGGGGCTGTTGTTCACTTCACACGCCTCGGTTGCGCGCGAAGTATCAGAGGTGCAGCGGCTGTGAGAAGTAGAGAGGAGTGCAACATGTCAGACGGAATTCCGTCGAGTGTCTGGCTCGCATCACTTGCAATTAGAATGGAACGTATCGTGCATCTACCTGTACATAGATTCGCAGAAACTACTGTCCCATAGAAAGTTCACGGTGAAACATGCAAATCGTGATTCGATAGTTAATTAGTGCTTCCCTGTAATCGTCTCAACAAGCGCCTTCGCGAAAATTCTTTTATTTCAAGGATACGGTAATGTCTCCCTAACTGACGCTCAGATTGCGGAGAAAAATGGACAATTTGGGAAGACGAGATACGATTAATTTGAGCCTCGCGCCTTGTTTTTATAATTACCGATCCTCAACAACTATAAAAACGAGGCCATTTTTGTGGACAATCTGAGCGTCAGTTAGAGAGACATTAATGTAATCTGAGCGTCAGTTAGGGAGACATTACCGTATTTTTATTGAAAATTCTCTGTCTCCATTCGCTGCAACCGTGAACAAAACTGCGCGTTGTTCTTTATTCAAGATTTATCACAATGATTTCTAATTTCGATTTGCAATCAGAATTCTTCGAGCGCAAAGCTTTTCCTCCTGATATTATTTATGAAAATTGTTGATCGAAGATTCTTATCTCTCTCCAACGGTTAGGCGCGCTAATTATACAACATTATATAATAATAATAATCGAGTCGAATAAATGGTTTTCACGAGGCGGCGTACATTCCCGCGTCTGTAAATGACGGTAATCCGATCACGATGACTGAGATTAGTTTAGCGGATCGAATAGCGAAGCGACGTTACGTAGAACGCAGAATTTGTGCACAATCGGCATAGTCTACGTGCGAACGAATTAGGTTTTCGATCGTTGAAGCCCGAACAGCAGATAGATCCCCTCTTCGCCGAACGATATAGTTTCCTCATACTCTCTTCTGCATGACCACGAATCACCAGAAAAAAAAATACAAAAAAAAAGAAGAACGTCGTCTGCGCTCCAAAATCGTGATCGCAATTTTGGAGTTTCAGGCGTTGAACGTATATTGTATATTATACACGGGATGATTCGCGATCGATGGCGGAAGCCGAACGAGCAACGGGTTCAACGGGGGGAAAAAGTCAACCGAGAACGCAGAATAACACGTTTCGACGGTGATTTCCGCTTTCGGGAAAATCGAGTTTGAATTTCTGTCGGGTACGCGCGCCGTTCAATAGAAAATGGCCGTATCTGCTCATCCATCATCGTTACCACTCATTGTCAGCACGAATGCATGTGTGTCGAAGGAAATTCCTAAAGTCGGTCTTCTCGAAAACGGAAAACTTCGATTCCGTGTTCTCGGTCGACTCTGTTCGATCAGGATCGATTCGGCTTGCGCCACCGGTTTCGAGGACGCACGCGGCGAGGCGCACAGGCGGTGACACGAAGGCCGTCCCGAAGACGTTCCAAAGTCGGAACATTATAGCTTGCTCTAGACAGTATTGTAGGCCGTGGAAAGACGAATCCAACGAGTACAATGAATGTACGGTTACGTTTGTTCAGCGCCGAGATACTTGCGTCTGAAAGTTTAAGTAGTCAATCATTCAGACGCAAGTATTTCAGGGTTAAATTACGGCAACCGCGTGTTCATTGTACTCGTTGGACTCGTCTTTTCTCGCTCTGCAAAAATATCGAAACGATATTCCGATCCCATTCCGATCTCGAAACGGCTGCGACGACGATAACGCATTTTCCATGAATTACTTTTCTAAAAAAATCGTCCCGCGTCTTCGGCGCCGCACGATTGTCACGGGCCCCGTGCCCCCGTATGACATAGTATAAATACAGTATACTGCATTGATACACACGGTGTACGCATAAACGAAGCATGTGACGGGTGCATCCGTGCATAAGGCATACACACGCAACCACTTAATTGTAAGGAACGATGTATACGTATATAATACACGTACGATGTGGGTGGTTGGCGGATGCGGGGCCGGATGAGGGTCGGGCGCGAACGGGTATTGTTTTAAAGCGATATTAATCGTGGTCCATTGGTTTTCCAGCGATCTCGAGAAGTACTTCGAGTATCAGGGTCAGGACTACATTTGCTCGCGGCCCGACGACAACGGAATGCACTCTTGCAGTAACTTGCCGCCGCTCAAGTTAGGTGAGTGCACCATCGATGCCTTTAACAATGCAGACGGAGCTTTCCTTTTCTTCTCCTTTCTTCTCCCGCCTCATATTTCTTTCTTTCGTTCTCTCTTGCTTCTTTTTTTTTCTTCGCGCCTCTCCGTTTCATCGAAATGCGTTCGCGTCTATCAACTATCGGCTGAAATTCCATCGAAAGTATCGGAACACTTGGATCGCCTTTTTCTGGCCAGATTGCACGGTGTTGCGGCGAACGATCCGCAGATATTTTGCGCGCACAATACAGATTTATAATGTACAAGCTGATTTTTTAGAAACGAGATTTTTCCTATCGGCTTTCGGAAAGAGAAAAGTCGAATAACTTCGGAAATTTGTCCTGCTTTTGCCGTGCAGGCTATGCGAACGATCGTTACGTAGAACAATACTTTAGACTCTCCTGAATAAAATGGTATATGTTTTTTATAATATTATTAACGTTTGACGATGTTTAAACAACGTTTAAAGAGAACCGCGAACGCGCCAATTTTGTGAGAATAATTTTGCATTTCTCGTAAAAGGAAAGTCTATTTGGTCGAATTATATCTTGTAAATAGTATTTACCGTTCTCGCTGTAAAATTTACCGTTTGTCATGGATATTTGTTCCGTAGAAAATTGTACTACACCGACGCTTTCGTCTCGCACCGTGCAACCGGGAAAAATATTCGATAGTTATTCTCCCAATGGCCATCATTCATATTCAGGGGATGAAAATAGCTCTTGAAAGTTCGGGACCATATTTGGCCTCTATATTGGTTTATCCCGGCAACTATTTACATTGTAGAGGGAAAGTTTATAAATATCAATTTTCAGCATCGATTGCATTTCTCGCTTCGCCAACTCCTCTATCATCTTCATCGCAAATCCTGTCAAATAATGAGAGTCGCAGTCGAAATCGTACACCGTGCACGAAAATAATTCTCACGCGAACGAAAAGGTTAACAAACGATATTAGAAAATAAATGTAATATATTTTATCGATCCATTAATATTTATTCTGCAATTCTGTATAAAATTGTGCACTTTAAACGTTGAAAACAGCTTTCGGATTTGTCCGAATGAAAAATCGTCGAAAAGTCAGAAATTCTTTAATCAGCTTAAAATAAATACAATGAAATGGTATACCAGTTTAATAACAATAATCGAGAAATAACAATCTCGTTACCCAAGAAAAAGAGATAGAAATTCAGCATCCCAATTGCAACGGCTACAAATTACAGCTTCGTTCGTGGTGTAGAATTACGACTGCGACTCGCCCTAAATATCGTTGACCTAAACGGCGCAGGGTCAACCGCATGGAAACAGTTTCGAACAAAAGAAATTGAATGCCGTTCCTCTCTCCCGCTCTCTCTCTCTCTCTCTCTCTCTCTCTCTCTCTCTCTCTCTCTCTCCTCGGAACGTCGATAAACGCAGATGCTACACATGTGTTGTTCTCGCTTTTAGGAAACGTGGTATGCAATAATACCGCGTTGCCGAACAATAATACAACGCACATCACCAACGACACCTGCGTTAATTGGAATTACTATTATACGGAGTGCAAGGGTCAGGGTAACAATCCTTTCCAGGGAACGATATCGTTCGATAATATCGGTCTTGCCTGGGTCGCAATATTTCTTGTGAGTGTCCTACTTCTCTTCTATTCTATTCACCGACTCGGAACTAGCGCTGGCCAAATTTTCGAGACGCTGCCGAGGCTTCCGAAACGGTTTTCGCCAACCAAAAACATGTTTTGGAATAGTCGAGCAACGGCGGCGGTCTTCGTCGAGTCGTTTCGCACGATGTACAGTAATGTCTCCCTTACCGACGCTCGGATTGTCCACAAAAATGGACAATTCGGGAAGAGGAGATACGATTATCCGAGCCTTTATAATTGTATAAAGGGCTCGTTTTTATAATTCTTAACAATTTATAATCATAAAAACAAACCGAAAGGCTCGAATAATCGTATTTCCTCTTCAAGAATTGTACATTTTTGTGGACAATTTGAACGTCAGTAAGGGAGACATTACTGCAGATCCCAGATAACCCTGATCGAACGCGGAACTTCGCGATCCTCGTTCTCCCTTAAGTATTATTAACGAGGTAGCATTTTTGCAACTTAAAAAGATACCATTATTTTCTAGTTGTTAACGAGAGAATCGGCAATTCGTAGAAATACAAATTAAATAACTAGTTTGCGTTGAATTGACCCTAAAATCGTTCTCAGCGTAAAGTTAAAATGTGCATATTTGGCGAATTAAATAATAATCCCGTGCCTAATTGATTTTTCTGCATCCTCGAAACGGGTTGTCTGTGACTACGTCGTTAAACAAATTTTTAACCGAGAATATAGTATCGGTTCTCGACCTGTTAACTGGATAAATGAAATTAATGCAAGAGAAATTTTGGATGAAAGAATAGAATTATTGAAAATGTATCAGAAATCGTGGATGACGATTGTCTTCCGCAGTTAACAGGTTGCTAAAATAATTAAGACGAATGAAACGGTGAAATTTTGTTATAGGTAATTAGTCTTGAGGGATGGACAGACATAATGTATTACGTGCAAGATGCTCATTCATTTTGGGACTGGATTTATTTCGTCCTTTTAATTGTGGTAAGTTTGATCGCTGTTGTTTCACGATACAGTAATGTCTCTCTAATTGACTCTCAGATTGTTCACAGAAATAAACAATTTGGAAAGAGGAGATACGATTATTCGAGCCTTGCGACTCGTTTTTATAGTAACAGTTTCTCAAGAACTATAAAAGCGAGAGCCGCGAGGCTCGAATAATCGTATCTCCTCTTCCCAAATCGTGCATTTTTATGCGTCAAAATTTTTGTGCACAATCTGAGCGTCAATTAGGGAGACATCACTGTAGTCCTGTATTTCATAAATTTCTTAAAAATACTTTCTTAATACGAACAGTTCTGCTATTGGTTCGAATTTTTAGCTACAGGATGTTGCAAATTTGCTTCGCAGATCGGCTCGTTCTTCATGATTAACCTGTGCTTAGTCGTAATAGCAACCCAATTCTCCGAGACGAAGAAGAGGGAGATGGAAAGAATGCGATTGGAGCGGGCTCGGTTCCATTCTACGTCCACCCTCGCGTCATCGACTAATACGTCCGAACCGACCACGTGTTACGCAGAAATTGTTAAGTAAGTGTCGCACGAAAACGCAGTAGAAATCGCGGCGCTATTCGTTTTATATTCGAAATCGAGAAATTCTTGAAATCCGAATGGCTGACTACTTGAACGTTCGGACGCAAGTATCTCGAGGCTGAACGATAGGAATCCCTTGGTCAATATATTCGTTGGACTCGTCGTTTTATACTTTACAAGAATATCCAAAGATGATTAAAATGTTCCTCGAAACAATGCGCCGACGACCTTGGAAATTCGTCTCGATCGCCTGTCGCTCGAAACGTTCGGCGAGCGAAGTTCTCAAGAATATGTCAAGTATTTAATATTATATATATTATATATTGTATTATATTAGTATTATATTATTATTATATATATATATTATTATATATAATATTTCTGATTTTGTTTCGAACGCTCCGACGAACGTGATCGGATCGAGCTGTTTAATATCGGCCAGAAGATGCGGAAAATGAAAGCGAGCGATCAACGTTTGCTTTTTCGAACAGCCGAATTTCCACGATCAATTGGCGCCATTTTCCGCTCTATTAGTTTGAAAAATGAGCGACGAGGCGCGCGGCGCGAGGAGACGGGACCGCGAGCATTTCAGTCACGTTTCATTTTAATCGAAGAATTTCAATACAAAGGGTCACGGGTAACGGGGGACGCATAGAAAATTCCATTGCACATTGCCGGCCGCGTATCGGTGCAGCACGCCGTGCTAAATGCGGTGTACACAAGCGAAAAGATAAAAGGCGAAGATATCTAAAATTGCACAGTTCCCCGTCAATGGGACAGCATAATTTTAGTAAGCCATCGATTTTCTTCGGCTTATTTTTACGCTGTCCTGGCAACGAACGCGAAGGGATGATCGCGTTCTTCTTCTTTTTTTCTTTCTTTCTTTACGCGTTATTTAGATTTTTGGCTCGAACCAGCACACGATTTCCTCCCCCCGGGACATCGATCTGATAATTGCGATTTATGTGTTTACCTTGTTCCCGGCGAAACAGCTTGGCAAGGACGAAAATCTGGCTGCGAGGGCAATCTCTCCGGAATCGATTTTATTATACTTGCACCGCTACTCGCGCGGACGGTTGCAGTTTTCGATAATTTTCGGTTTTATCGGTTTCGTTCGATTTTTTAAGAAATCTCGTTGCTCTTATCATTTCCTATTTCTATTCGTTTCTATCTTCGCCGTCATTTCATTTTTATTATTCAACCTTTCCGTAGCGGTTTATTTCTCACACTTCTATTTTTATATTATTCCATCGTTCCCCCATCTTCGTTGTCATTTCATTTTTATTATTTTTCCTCTTCTATACTACTTTATCCGTCGCGCTTTTATTTCCATATCGCTTTATTCCTATTTTTGTATTATTTTTATATTATTTTCCCAGCTATTTCGATCGGTCCGAACACAGCAAAATCCCGGCGAATTTAACCAACCCCTAATGAAAAATATCTTCGCGCCGCGCCGTCTCCGAAATAGCGCGATCCCGTCGATTCCGTGGACAATAAGTTGACACGCGCCGTTTCGCCTAGCGCAACATCGTCGAATCGGAAGTCGAATAAAATGTAGCCGGCCCGGAATAGTTCCCAGCTGATTTTCATTCGGCCGCGGCACGTGTGCGCGCCTGTTTTCCCCGCAGATATATCGCACACCTGTGGCGGAGGGGCAAGCGGAGGCTAATGAAGAGGTACCGGCTGTATTTGTACAAAAAGCAGCAGAAACGGGAGCAGAACTTGCTGAAGGAACAGCAGCAGCACGGACATCCGTTTCGAGGAAGCGCGCCCGCTTCTGCTTCGAATAGATTACCCGGAGGTAAGCAACCAGACCACGCCGCTGCCGCCGACTCGAGCATTATTTATAGTAATGCGTCCTTATTGCACATTTTCGACCGGGGAGGATCAAAGTAATGGACCGCGCAGAGTGAACTCTACCGAACATCCGAGGCTCGAGGTTCGCCGGAAGCAATTCATTCGTTTGTTTTAACATGGATTTTCTCCTGATTTCGATCGTTTTCATGGTGATAATAATAGTAATAATAATAGTTGTTTCTCTCTCTGCGTAAAGTATTTCGTAACTGTTCGTCGATTATTACAATATTTTCACGCGGCTTTTATTTGCAGTAATGTCTCCCTTACCGACGCTCAGATTGTGCAGAAAAATGGACAATTTGGGAAGATACGATTATTCGAGCCTCGCAGCTCGTTTTTATAGTTATTGACAATCGATAACCATAAAAAACGAGCCAGAGGCTCGAACAATCGTATCTCATCTTCCAAAATTGTCCATTTTTGTGCGCAATCTGAGCGTCAATTAGGGAGACTTGTCGTTTCCAATTCCAAGATTCCCTAAATGACTCGTTTCTACTTTGTCCTATATAAATAGTTTCCCGCGTGCTATGTCTTCGAAAAATTTTCTTAACGAAAATGAATTATACACGAAATAAGTAGAGACTTCAGGCTTTAAAATGAGTTAAGTTTCGTTGCTCTACGATTTTTATTCACGAAGTTACAGTACTTTGAATATCGTCGATGTTTCGGGGATTGAAAATTTCGCGTAAAGTCTGGATCGAGGTTCTTCATCCATCGTGTCGCGAATAAATTTTTTTGAAGAAATCGATCGACAGTCTCCGAAAGTAGACACTTCGGGCTTCAAAATGAGCCGAGTTTCATCGTCGTACGAATTTTTTGCAGAAAGTTATAGCTGCTCGAATATCATCAATTTTTCGAATATTCGAGATTTTGTGTAAAATCTAGAACGAGGTTTCCCATCCGTCATATAATAAATAAATTTTTTTAGAAGAAACTGACTAATATCTCTCGAAAGTAGATACTTCGGGCTTCAAAATGAGCTTAGTTCCATCGTCGTATAATTTTTTTTCACGAAGTTACAGTATCTTGAATATCGTCGATGTTTCGAAGGTTCGAAATTTCGCATAAAGTCTGCAACGAGGTTTCTCAGCCACCGTGTCGCGAATAAATTTTTTTAAAGAAATTGGTGGATGTCCTCCGAAAGTAGACACTTCAGGCTTTGAAATGAGTCGAGTTCCAAGGTAGCACGATTTCGTAGCTCGATTTTATAGTTGTTGACAATCGTTAACCATAAAAACCGAGCCACAAGGCACGAACAATCGTATCTCCTTTTCCAAAATTCTCCATTTTTCTGGACAATCTGAGCGTCGATTAAAGAGACATTACTGCATTTCTCAGTCGAAAGAACTACCCTAAACGCGACCGATGTTCGCTGCCTTATAACAGCGACGAGATTTACTCAAACCTCGCGCGACGATAATAAATGCTCGAACGAGCGAGTGAAAATTTCTCGTAGAAGCATTCTTATATCAGTAATTGTAAAAGAAAAAAATCATCGGTCATCGTCATCGATCGGTCGTTTGTTTCAGCTGATTTGGTAATTCTGGTAATTAATAGAGAACGATTGTTACTTCATGATCCGCGATGGTACACATTCGCGAAAGATTTCGACGCGTTCGATTCCTACGGGGAACGTTGAAATTGCTCCATAAATTTGGCCAGCCATTAGAGCTTATGGCTGGGCGTAAATAGCCGCAGTCCACTAATCAGTTACTATTTCATTGGTATCGATTAACAGATAGGAGGCTGCACCACGGCAGATGTCCTCGGCTGCTAGCGGCCCTGGAATACGCGGAGCAGCATCAGCAACAAGGAATTGGTAGCGGCGGCGGATCATTAACGGACTTCACCGCGAATAGTCCGCCGACCCAGCCGGCGATCCTCGGCAATTCTATCGCCATAGCCAGTAATGGCGGAAGCAACGGGAACCTGGCCATCGCACCGCGCGCCAGCCCCGAAGTTTCCGAAGCGGACGTCTCCTCGAATATTTGCAACCGTTTGGGCATCCATCGGACGTCCTCGGTGTCCTGTAACGGCAGCGATAATGTCGTCTCGAACGCCACCGAGGCCAGCATACAGGTATAACGATCCGCACGATTTTTCTATATAATAGTACTTAATACAACGATCCGCACGATTTTTCTATATAATAATATATTTTAAATATATTCTATAATATATTCTAAATAATAATATAATATAATAATAATATAATATAATAATAATATAATAAATAATATAATATAATAATAATATAATAAATAATATAATATAATAATAATATAATAATATTCTATATAATAATATTTGCGTTTTGCTATTTTAGTTCCTCATGAATTTTTATCTTTCTCGATTCTTACACACAGGCTGCCCAAAAAATGTCTCGCAATCCGGAAACGAGGGCGTTCCTGAGTACCTTCGAAGTAACTCTTTCCTCAACGAGAATGCAATCCGCTTACGAAATGTATTTTGTTAATTTACAGAGTGTTCCACCCAAAAGTGTCGACAATCATCCTTACATTTAATATTGTAACAACGATGTGAAATTATTTCAGTCATTCGTTGTAACACATTCATAATAAGACCTTCGAATTGTCTCTTGCGTAGAATAAAAGTAAGAATTATTGGAACATTCTTAACAAAATGAGATTCCATCTAGTAAATCGTGATCGTTTGTTTGTAAACGTCGAGGCATTGTTATCCGAGCGACTCGACTTTCTAAGAAATGAAATAGGTGTCACTCGCCCGGAGAATTCGGTATTGGGGGAAATAAAAGCGGTGAAGACATTTTCAATCTATGATAGCGAATACGTGAACCCTGCAGAGCTCACGACCGAACTGACAGACACATGCCAATATGTGATACGGTAAATCACTATATGTTACATAGGAAATGGTAACAGCGACTCAGACATGGATGTACGGACGATAAGCGAAAAAGGGGTAAAAATGTTCCGCTCGCTTTGTAGCCGAAACAAAACCTGTAGAAATAATCTCTGAAAATATCGCGAAAATATTTCTGCGAATATTTCAAAATAGGAGACATATTTTCGAACATTTATATATATAAAAAATTAAAATATATTATATATTTAATATCATATTTAATATATTATATTAAAAATTAAAAATAAATTTTAATAAATAATATAATATATATAATATATATTTATATAAATAATATATAATTTTAATAATAAAAATAATATTTAATAACATTAAAAATAGATGTTATATAAATGTTTCTGACGACAGAGAATATTTCTAAACATATTTATACGTGTCTCCGATCATAAAAGATATTCCTGAACATTTTCACAAACGTTCCTGACCGTAAAGAATATTTAAAAACCATTTGCAGCAGTCGAGAATATGCTAAAAGTATTACACGAATTTTCTTTTCCAGGAAATAATTGATAAATCGATTATAAAATCGGACGCGTATGAAACAATGTTGCAGACGAACAACGCACTGCTCAGCCCGCCGTGTATGCACTATCGAAGGAGGAGCAGCGTGATGTTCAGCGACGTGGTGCTGCTGCACGGTAGCCCGAGCGTTGGCAACGCGTTGCAACCGAGTACGACGGTGACACCGGGCGAACGTAACGTGTGCTCCAGCGAGAAAATGACACAGACCGGTGACGGGAATGTCTGGTCGAGTCCGCTGGCTGATCCCATACAGGTACCTACCCACCACCGATCCTAGTAGCAGGCGAGCAATCATGCAAAGTAGCGAAGAAACGATTTACAAATTAAGCAAACCAGCCGGTGGAACGAACTAGCAGGGAAGCGACTGTCTGATTGAAACAAAGTAGCAATGGATCCGATGCCAAATTGAATGAAGTAGCAAATTGGACAAGGTAGCAAATTGAACAATATAGCAAAATCGAACGAAGTAGCGAATTGAGCAATGTGGCAAATTGAACAATGTAGTAAAATTGAACGGTACAGCAAAGTTGAACAAAGTGGCGAGTCGAACAATGTGGCAAGTTGAACACTGTAGCAAAATTGAACAATGCAGCAAAGTTGAACAAAGCGGCGAGTCGAACGAAGTAGCCCAGGAACAAGTATAATAATGTCTCCCTTACTGACGCTCAGATTACAGTAATGTCTCCCCAATTGTCTCCAATGTTCGAGCCTTGTGGCTCGTTTTTTATGGTTAACGATTATCAACAACTATAAAAACGAGTCGCAAGGCACGAATAATCATATCTCTTGTCTTCCCAAATTGTCTTCCCAAATTTCTGTGGACAGTCTGAGCGTCAATTAGAGAGACATTACTGTAGCAAATGAAACAGAAACCGGAAGTTCGGTGTACGAGAAAGTTGCTCGAGCCACTAAAAAAGCTGTCGAGCTAGAATGGGAAGCAGAATACCCGTCGAAAATATTTTGCAACTTGGAAAATGTTTTTTCGAGCCGAGAAATTGTCAGGATTCCCGGTCGTCGGGACGTGTTCCGCGAGGAAACCCGCTCGATACGACGGTGGATTCAGTATCCTCGGGTTTTTTTTCAGCGGCTTTGAATTCTACTTTTTATTAAATTATTAGGTCGACCTGGGAAGTCCGTGTCGTTTCCAGAGCGCGGCTGCGTCTTTATTACCCCGTTTTTTGCGAAGGAATAAAAGCCCGTCTGACCTGGCTGGCACGCAGTCTTCCAGAAACGTTTCACGTACGCTCCCCGACGCGAGCCGGTGGATGTCACTTTTTAATTTTTTCCCGGAGAATACCAATGGAGAACCGCCGCATAAATACAAAGGCCACTTCAGCCGCATTATGCTCAACGTATTACAAAAAAATCGCGGCTCTCGGAGATTTTCGCCGTGGAGAGGCGCACGCTCGAGTCGCCGGGGAAAAAAGGAAGATTGAACGAGAGAACCGTCGCACGAAGATATTTTTAATCTTCTCGGGAGAAACTAACGGATTCAAGGGCTGCCGCCGCGAAAATAAAATTAACGCCGAAGCAAAATTCTGGAAGGTTGATCTTTCTTTTTTTTAAAGCACAATTTGCTCGAAACAAATGCACAGCAATGTCTCCCTCGTTGACGCTTGGATTGTCCAGAAAAATGGACAATTTGGGGAGAGGAGATACGATTATTCGAGCCTCGCAAAACTCCTTTTTCATAGTTCTTGACAATTCGTGACTATGGAAACGAACGGCAAGGCTCGAATAATCGTATCTCCTTCTCCCGAATTGTCCATTTCTGTGAACAATCTGTGCGTCAATTAGAGAGGCATTACTGTATTATGAATTCATGGGAACGGAGCGATCGAGAATGGAGGAATTATAAATTCACGGGGCGGAAAGGACGAAGGTAGAGGCAACGAAAAGTTCAATTACCTGTAAAACAGGACACGCGTTGTTAACAGTAGCCGCAACTCTAAACGTAAAAACGTCAAGAACTTTCCGCAGTAGCTAATGTACTATTCATTATGCGGGGGGACATCTAGCGTACGCCTTCGTTTTCTTTTAATGTCCTCATTTTCCGCTTTCATTGTGCTCTCTCTCTCTCTCTCTCTCTCTCTCTCTGTGGTCTCGTGTCTCGCTGCTTGGCTGGTCGATTGTGCAAAGGGCACGGCCAATGTTTAAGTTTATCATAAACCGGGAGAAGTGTTTAAGCAGAACCCGCGACACCTCGACGCTTTCGCGAAATCGCAACTTATCTTTTGCAACAAATATCAACGATTATTATTTATTTCGATCGTTTCATTCATTTCGGGGCAATTCTTCTCGAATAACTTCGCCCGCTACTTTTATTTAACCCGGACAAATGCTGACCTATTTCAAGGGGTTGCTTCGAATCGATTTTTAAATGCGTCCTTTCAGAAATGTAATCACTTTCGGGGGGCTCGAATTAAAGCTCGAAGATCGTGCTTTACAATGGATTAGCTTAGGTTCGCAGAAAAATTCGGGATCGCGTCGGAAAATGAGAAACTTTCGATCCGGCTCGCAATTATAGCTCGCAGAATAGAGTCGCGAGTGTCTCGCGGCGAGCTGCTTAGCATCGCCGACAGTAAATCAAGCTCTTTCCACCCTATTTCGTCACTCTAACGGACGGCCGACTGTTGGCAACGGTCTACATTAACAGTTTAATCCGATCGCAGCGGCGCGTGATGCATGGCATCCTTAATGTCCCAAATGCACAATATCACCTTTTTGGCACGAACGGTTCCACAGCGTCGATATTTACGGTTGATCGACTTCGACCCGCGGATTTCGCCACTTTGAACCGTCGGGCATGAACCGTTTCACATCAGAATCGCATCAAGTTGCATTCTCGCTCTGACGTTCGACTGTCCTGATTAACTTTCTTCGAGTTTGGAACACCTAAGAGCTCTTCCACAACGAAACAAGATGCATGCTGCTTGTATTATAATAATAATTAGAACTTCGTGGTATAATCAATAGGAATTTTGGAATATTAAATAAGAATTTTCATTTAACACAGAAATAAATGACTACGGTAATGTCTCCCTTACTGACGCTCAGATTACAATAATGTCTCCCTTACCGACGCTCATATTCCCCACTAAAATGGATAATTTGGGAAGAGGAGATATACGATACGACAATTTATAACTATAAAAATAAACCGCAAGGCTCGAATAATAGTATCTCCTCTTCCGAAATTGTCCATTTTTCTGGTCAATCAGGGCGTCAATTAGAGAGACATTACTGTATTTCGAATGAAACATATGCAACACAATCGAGAGAAATAATAATTGCGATCGTTGCTATCAGCCTAAATCGTAGCACCAGCTATAATCTTAGCCATCAGCCATAATCTTAGCCATCAGCCATAATCTTAGCCTTGTCAGCCATAATCGTAGCCACCCGCCATAATCTTAGCTGCCAGCCATGATCTTAGTTATCAGCCATAATCTGAGCCAGCAGCCTAAACTTTGTTATATCGGCACGAGTATCCGTCATCGGCCTGAATCGCGGTGGCAGCCGAGATTCGCGAAGAAATTTGATCGACAACGAATCCGTGAACACCTGTTGGACACCGACCTCGCGTCTCCGCCTTGTCCCCTAATTTACAACAATGCTAGCATTTCTCCGGTGTCCGTTGTACAACGGTTCCCACAAAACGTGTCCGCTACACCGGCTATCTGTCATGTGCACGTGTCGCCACAGTTGCAGGCGGAACTGAGCAGAAGCGAAGCGATGACCTGTCAAGAATTGCTGGCGCTTGGCGGTGCTCTGAGCGCAGCGTTGCCAACGGGCCAACTGGCACTGGACTCCTTCTTGAACTCGCTGACAAAAGGTACTTTCCTGCGACGCCTGTCTCGTCAAACTTTTGCCGCAAATAATTTCGCCGTTTCTCGCGTCCCGTCGAACGTCGCCCGATCGATTTCCCGACCGAAAAGATAACGGCGTGGAAAAATGTTGGATAAAAGTAGGCCAACTTCGAGCAACGACAACTTCGCGAGAAATCATCGCAGGACGATGACTCTTTTTTCATATCGAAGCTTGAAATGTCTACTTTCAGATCGTATTTCGCGGATTTCAAGTTCGACGCACCCTCGCCGCTCTAACCCTTTAAATGCGAGGCCATGTTTTTTGTACCGAAAATACTGAAAATTGCGAAGTTCGTCGAAACGCACGGACTCGTAAAATTTTTTCCGGAGACGCCGTTTGCAGAGGAACGAAGTCCGATGTTTTCTCTTTAATTCGAAACAAAGGGAACGCCGCTGCGATTTTTTTTCGCGAAGTTACAGCACCTCGAAGCAACCCTTGCGAAAGGAAGTTGCGTACGCGCTTCGACGCGAGAAAAATGATCTCGAGGAAAAATGAAGGTTCGCAGTCGGTCGCGACGCGTCGTTTTGACGATGATTCGCGAGCGCAGCGCACATTATGGAGTCGTAGAGAGTCTGACGTACGAACTGCTGCTGGCGCAGGAAAGTTATGGACCGCGGCGGTGGATGGAAATCAGTCGCGATTAGGCGAGCGGCATGTAGACGACAGGGTTGGTTGCAGGGATAAGGGATCGGCACATCACTCTGGAGGATCGCACGCAGTGGTTAACGTCCGACATCGATAATTGTTCGTGTTGCTGCGAGCTGCAGGCAGCCGGTGATCAATGGCCGGACGAGACTGACAAATGGGCGAAGTCCTCGAGGGCGAAAAGGCTGCTCAGGTCCTGCGGCAGCTGTTGCGTATGCGTGATTAGGTGCATAAGACGGTCGATCAAGAAGCTGGTCGAGCACAAGTACTTCCAACAGGGTATCCTAGTAGCGATTCTGATCAATACGCTGAGCATGGGCATCGAGTACCATAATCAGGTCAGTATGTCTCTGCCGCGCGGCCTCCAACGCGGCCCATCGAAACGCGCGATCTTCTCTTTTTCTGTTCGCAGCCGGAACAATTGACCGTGATCGTCGAAATAAGCAATATTGTGTTCTCGGCGGTGTTCGCCGTGGAGATGCTACTCAAGATCATAGCCGAGGGCCCGTTCGGGTACATCAGCAACGGGTTCAACGTCTTCGACGGGGTCGTCGTCGTGCTCAGGTATCTCTTTTTTATTCGGGATCCAGGAGATGTTGCTAAAAGAATCGTTGTAACTTTGTAGAAAGGTGTCGCGCGACGGTAAATCCGAAATCATTTCAAATTAAAATTCTTCAGTTAAAATTAAACAATTCTGCTCTCGTTCACGCTTTTATTTAGGCAGTGAGAATGCATAGAGCCGACGAGCTTATTCTTCGTTGACTTGCTCTGTTTTCAATTTCTTGAAAAAGTGCATTTCGGTCGCATCGAGCAAAATACAGTAATGTCTCTCTAATTGACGCCCAGATTGACCACAAGAATGGACAATTTGGGAAGAGGAGATACGATTGTTCGAGCCTTGCGGTTTAATTTTATAGTTATAAATTGTCCACGATTATAAAAACGAGCCGAAATATAGTACTACAATTATAGCGTCTGATATATACTATTTTAAATATAACGTCTGAAATATAGTATTTCAGATAGTAGTCTCTGAAAAATAGTATTTTAAACATAGCTTTTGAAATATAGTATATTAAATATAGGGTCTGAAATATAGTATATTAAATATAGGGTCTGAAATATAGTATATTAAATATAGGGTCTGAAATATAGTATATTAAATATAGGGTCTGAAATATAGTATTTTAAATATAACGTCTGAAACATAATAAGTATAATTGTAATTGTAAGTATAGTATAATTGTGGAGAATTTGTAACTATAAAAATAAACCGCAAGGCTCGAATAACCGTATCTCCTCTTCCCATATCGTCCATTTTAGTGAACAATCCGAGCGTCAGTAAGGGAGACATAATACGAAGATAAAACCACAGGAGAAACCGGGAAAAAATTAGCCCAAAATTAGCCGAAATTTCAATTACAGTTGAGCACATCTTCTCTACACAACTCGAAAGCATCATAATTGAAGATAATGTCGCGACGATCCGTCGTTCAGTGTCGTAGAGATCTTCCAGGCGTTCGTCGAGGAGCGAAGCGGAAGCTCCGGGCTGAGCGTGTTGCGGACCTTCCGTCTGCTGCGAATCCTGAAGCTGGTGCGATTCCTGCCGAACCTGCGCCGGCAGCTGTTCGTGATGCTGCGAACGATGGATAACGTTGCCGTATTCTTTTCCCTTTTAGTACTATTCATCTTTATATTCAGGTAAGTCGTTCCCATTCCTTTCCTCGATTCGGTCAACGGTCAACGTCTCGCCGGGATCCCCTAAGCCGCGATCTCCCGCCGTTTATTCCAATCCGATCCGATCCGATCCGGAGGTGCACGGTTTATCCAGGACGATCGGGAATCATCCCCCATCGATAGATCGATAGATCGGCCGCGAGCCGCGTCGCTCGATCGCAGCGGGCTAATCGCGGCCGCGCAAATTCTCGTCTCGTCTCGGCGACCCCTTTTTGTTTCTTTTCTCTTTCGGTGCCAGATTGAGATCACACCCCATGCGGTCATCGGTCTGATCTCGCCGAAGGGCTCTCTCTTTCTTCTCCCCCGCGCGCACGGCCTACGGGGAGAAAATTCACTAGAAAAGCTCGAACGTTCCGCCTGTTGTCACGCTAATCGGCGTTTTCCTCTCTTGGGAAAGAAAGCCGGCCGAGCTTTTGCTGTGCTTTCTATACGCTATCCGAGCTTCCACAGGGGCCTGGAGCTTTCCAAGTTAATCACTGCTCTTCTACGAACGACGACGATATATATATATACCCCCCACCAGAAACCCCACCCACCCACCCAGCCACCCCCATTCGAGCCGCGAGTATTCGCGACATTAGGTGACTATGTCTTCCGTTTTGATATTATATCGTGCTACTACTACTACCACTGTCTTTATTCTTGTTTATGCGCTTGCCACTTTGTCTCACGGCATTTCGATCGTAAACGCGTGATTGCATCGTCACCATTTACATAGATGATCGCTGAGTCGCTGGCAGTTCTCGTCTCGTCTACGCAAGGACCGAGGCTGGAGTCCGCGATCCGGCTGGGTCCGGTCGCCCGATTATGGTTGAGGCTGTTGAACGACTGTAGTCCGGACACTTTTCGAGGATTTCGCTGATTTTTTTCAGGAATTAACAGAACGATCGACGTATTATTTCCAATCTGTTGAAACGATCAAACGCAAAAGTTTGCATCCACGTATTATTGTACATCCTTACACTGTCCACAGAATTGTTATCTTATCTCTGTCTTTGCAGATTCGTTTGATAGATTGCAGAATTGTTATATTCGATTAGACGTTCGCTTTGTACTTGTTAACAAAACGAGAGGATTTTCCATAGAAAATGAAATTCATTTCTCACGAATCTCTGTAACTAACGTCTACAAAATTAACCAAGAAAAATGTAAAAATACAGCAGAGCACTATGTCGAAGCAGCCGAAGGCTTACTTTTACACAGAACGTTCCCAAAAAAGACATTTCGTGAACATTCTTGCATTACAAAGAAAGCGCTGGCTTTTCGGCGAACGTTGTTCCTTTTTTTCCAAGAACATTCTTGCAATTTCTAGCATTCCAGGAACATAGCCTGCTCTTTGAACAACATTGTTGCGTTTCGAAACGACGCTTGCATTCGCGAGATAAAGAAAAGTGGAAAAAGAACGGATCATCTTTCGGTATTCGCCACTTTTCTCTGGACTCTCGTCGTCAGCTTCGACTTGGGGCGCGAGCCCGTCCGGGTCGCGGACGATCCAGCCAAGCCCGTGTGCCACCCAACCTGTGTACATTTTGTTTTGGTTTTTTGAAACGTTTCTGTTCCTCCTGAGCGTTCATCGGCAGCGTTTCTCTGAACGTTGTTAATTAATGGTAATGGCGATGGGTGTTTTGTTGGCACGTCTACGAGGGATGTCTTGTTGGCCCTTTCTCATGGCTTGAGGCATCGAACGTGTATTTACTTTGACCGTTTCTTTTAGAGGACACCTGTTATACATATATATATGACTTATCAATCTAAATATAAGAGTATATATCCATGTATATATATATATATACGTATATATATACCAGAAATTGTCTCATGTGTGCATGATGCTTTGATATCTAGCGACAAGTATGATGAGAGCTATATGTATATATATATGTGTATATATATACATATATCTACCTGTTTACCTCTATCGATTATTCGTGTAATCGTATGTCTCTATATTTCTTTTGTTTTTCTTTTCTCTGACTGTCGCTACTCCGTCTCTCTTCCGCTATCTTTCAGTTCACACTTTCACCTTCCGCCGTTCTACCACTCTCTACCGATTTTTCTTTGTTTCGTTTGTGTCTCTAAACACTGTCGATTTGTTCGTTTTCCTTTCATTGATTTCTCTTCTTCGTTCTTTCAAATGCCTACAAAGTGCGTGCGCCTCGGTGTGGTCATCGATATTAGTCAGCTTGCGAATGAACGATTATGTACCTTCATCCCCCCCCCCCAAACCCCCCCCCCAAACCCGCCCCGAAAACCCCCTGGTTCTCTCGATCATGCAGCGCGCAAAAAAAGGCCTCACGCTAAAGCCGGGCTCTGTTCTCGCCGTTCGATTCGACTCGATTCGATTCGACTCGTTTGGCCGCTCGCCATAATCGCCCTTACCCTCGACTCTGTCGCGCCGATTTCTTGCGTTTGTTGTTGCCGCTGTCAGGTGATCCTACGAGTAATGTCGTGGCCGGAGTCTACTACGATACGGGGAGACGATTCGGCGCCGTGCAATCTGCCAAAATCGCGAGAAATTGGGGCCCATTAAGTGGGGTGCCTGCGGAAATGCCATTCGCGCCCGGGAATTTCAATTAAAATGCAATTTCTGTCGGGGCTAATGCATCTTAAATTGCGGACGATCCGTCGTAGTTTAAATCGTACGTGGTCGTTCGTGGGAATAGAGATTTTTCAGAATTGTGTTTCAACGATTGTGGTTCGGAAATAGTTTTCAGAAATAGTATCGCGAATCTAGTGTTTGAAATATAGTATTTTAAATATTAGGTCTGAAATATAGTACTTCAATAATAGCGTCTGAAATATACTATTTTAAATATAACGTCTGAAATATAGTATCTTAAATAGTAGTCTCTGAAAAATAGTAGTTTAAATATAGCTTCTGAAATATAGTATTTCAAATATAACGTCTGAAATATAGCATTTTAAATATAGCTTCTGAAATATAGCATTTCAAATGTAACGTCTGAAATATAGTACTTCAATTATAGCGTCTGAAATATAGTATTTCAAATGTTAGTCTCAGAAAAATAGTATTTTAAATACAGCATCCGAAATACAGTACCTTAAATAGCAGTGTCCGAAGAATAGCATACGAAATGTAACGCTATAAAAATAGTGTCCGAAGTATAGTATTCTAAGAATGGTGTCTAAACAATAGCATCGGCAAAATAGTGCCTGAAACATAGCGTTTCAAAAATAGCGTCTGGTCGCGGTAGTAGCATTCCGAAAATAACGTTCCGCGGAAACAATTTGATACTGAAACAATTTCAGCCGAAATGTTCAGCGAAAATGGTAAACGATATACGTTACATTATTATGTCGCGCGAGAAAACACGTTCGCGATTGTCTAAACAAATCGATCCCCGAACGAAAGTCGAAGAAGTAATTGGATCGGTCTCTCGCATTCGATGCAGAAAATGTCCATTTAGCTCGTAGACCAGCAGCACAGTCTACAAATTGAGAAACTGTCGATTAAACTGTTACTCGCATTTGGCAGCTTCGCATGCACCGACCCGATACTTGGGTCCCGATCTAATTGGGGAAGGGTGTGAAACAAGCTGCTGATGCAGAATCTGTTGCGGTTTTCGGAACTAATTGCCTAGATTTAACACGAGCCGGGCTTCACCCGGCTCCGTTAAAATCGTGAACTAATAACGACAGAAACCGAACATACTGACGCGGATCTGTCTGTAATAGAAACGGGATTACCGTGCGAATTTTGATTATTATACCAGGGAGATTTTCAGGAGCCCACGCATGTTACGATTCTGCGCGATCAAGTTGTTAAAATAGAATTTGATTTCTTGCGTTAACGATTCCAATTGTTATCGTATAAATCGAATCATCTTTTTTTTTATAATCAATTATTCGAAACGAACGCGACACCATTGGCCAATAAGGTTCTAGCGTTTCTTTCGGTTCTATGATTTCAATATTTATTTGTAGCATTTTAGCATAATTAATTAGCAGCACCGAAGTCCTCTAGCTAGTATAGAATTTTAGAGATTTGATATCTAGTAACACAATTTAATATTCCGGAACAGTTAATCCAGTGTGTAATTCCTTTCCTCTGGTATAGAATTATGCATATAACGTAGATCGAATATCAATATTTGATATTCCGGAGCAATCAATCTAGCGCCCTTGTCTAGTATAGAATTTTAGAGATCGAATATTTAGCAATATAATTCCGCGGTCTGCGACAATTCGTCTAGCATAGAATTTTAGCGATCGAATATTTAGTAATATAATTCCACGGTCAATAACAATTAATTAATCTAGCATAGAATTTTAGCGATCGAATATTTAGTAATATAATTCCACGGTCAATGACAATTAATTAATCTAGCATAGAATTTTAGCGATCGAATATTTAGTAATATAATTCCACGGTCAATGACAATTAATTAATCTAGCATAGAATTTTAGCGATGGAATATGTAGTAATATAATTCCACGGTAAATGACAATTAATTAATCTAGCATAGAATTTTAGCGATCGAATATTTAGTAATATAATTCCACGGTCAATGACAATTAATTAATCTAGCATAGAATTTTAGCGATCGAACATCTAGAATTATTTTAATATCCTAGAACATTCGATCCAGCAGTATCCAAATGGTTCAGCAATTTGTTGGACGGTTGTTCGATTGAAAAAATAACCCACGAAATGAAATCACCGGTAGAACGGTGAACAATTCGGGACCACGCTCTGATTAATTAGCGAGCGGTCCTTTGGCCAGCCCGCTCGACTATTTAGGATGCCGGAATAATACATCGGTTGCAACGAAATAGAACTTCGCGCAGTTGGGAACCCGACCGGTTAGAATCCCGTTTGGAGCGTTTCGTAACTTCGTTACGCGTTCGGAACTAACGAAATCATTAAACTAATTCGACTTTGTACTTGCGCCACGGTGGTCGGCGAAGGTTCAACTTCCTCTTGAAAAATGCATTCCTCCCGT